AAACGATCAGCTGAACCCCAGCAGAACGGTGAACCATTTGTTGATTTTGGAAAACGATCAGCTGAACCCTCAGCAGAGATCGTCGCTGAGCACGCCGCTGAGAGTGCATTCTACGGATAAGTTCCTCAACCAATCCCCCGGACTGTTACAAGCACAAGAGTTGTACAACGGTGTTGTCATGGTGACAACAGTGTTGTTGTCATAACGACGACAATATTGTCATAAAACCGACGACAGCGCTGTCAACTTTTGTGTGTTTTGGTTTTTACTCCTTTACGGACACGGACATCTCGTAACCACTATATCGTCGTAGCGTTTCTCGGTAGCTCTTATGTAAAAACTTTAGATGATGGTTCTAGAATGTTCGATAATGTTCTAGAATGTTCGAGAATGTTCTAGAACTTCAGTAGATGACAGTGCAGATTGTGCTTGTTGTGGTTTGTAGCTTAATTAGACAGTTTGATGTTTTAAACAAGAAAATAATATGTTTTAGAGTTATGATGTACTGAAGTTCGCCCTGATTTCCCCTGATCTTGCATTAACTTTTAATATATCGCTTTTCATTTTGTCTCCTCTAATTTTAAAACAATTCTGTCCAACTGGTTTAAAAATCAGAATGGGATCAGAATCATAAATTGGTTATTCAAATTTCATGAAATTAGACTGAAAATAATACCTGGGTACAGGAACACATGGGGAAGCCAGTGGAACATCGTTGGGAATTCTAAGGAACATAACCTTAAAGGTAAGGCTATTTAAGATGTAAAGACTTAATAAATATGGTCTCTATAAAGTGTACCTGGACATTGTTGAGTAGAACAAGCTTCTGTAACCACTCCACCCTGATCCCCACCACAATCAGCTCCACCAAGTGCAGGGACAGGATCAGTGCAAGTTCTGGTTTTGTACCGTGTTCCTCCACCACATGTTACTGTGCACACTGACCAGTCTGTCCACCCGGTCCACCCACCATTAACTAAATCGGTTACTGTTACAATAATGTAACTGAAATACAACCACTTAATCGGTTACTGTTACAATAATGTTACTGAAATACAACCACGATTTGGTATGATATGGAAGCATGTATAGTAGGGTGACCTGGAATTAACTGAATTTGTAGACTGATTTTCGACGAATGTGCTAGATTTAAACTTACCCCTTACTGCGAAGATTATCACAAGAGTTATAGCTGCAATTTTAACTGCTACTAGAATCAACCAAAACGTCCAACCTGAAAAATTTTATTGTGAAACTCGATGCTGATCGTTTCATATGGTACTAAACTCCGAATTTATTTATAAGACAAAAATGTTAAGATTAGGACATTCGGTCAATAATAGTAATACGAACCAGCTAAAGTACGTATAGGACATTTAAAGATTGAATGATAATCTGCAGCTAATTCTTGGAACCCTCTTTCTTCACCAACGGTAGAAGATACAACAGTCTCACGACCATTAGCTTCAGCATCATGAACATCTTCAATTTTATTAAAGCGATCAAACATGATAACAATTGTTGAGACCACACATAGTCATAGTACGAGTGTTCGAAAGAAAAGAATTGAAACAAAGAAAAAATCGAAGATAATTATCCATTTTTGATTTTAGATACACAATCTCGGTGATATCGTGCTTGTATTATAGTTGTATTATATTATGCTTGTGAATGTTAGCACTTGTAAATCTTTTAACTCTGGATAAAACAGTAATTCTCTCGGGGAGATGATTCACTTAAAGAAATTAGTTGCTTGGAGATCAAAGGCTTAAAACACTTTAAATTGGGTATGTATAATTTAAATTTATATGGTATAAAAAATGATATGTATAAAGTCTACAATGGGAAGAAGGGTAAAAACGTGTTCAATAAAAAAGTAAACAATTTAATAAATTTCCATATAATTATATATATATAGTCTCAAGTCTATTGTGGGTGGCTATTTGTAAAGTCTCAAGTGGTACACGTAAGTATCACGGTGGTTGATTAAATTATGAAAAGTGAAAACGACGGACAAAAACAAATGACTGTTATTAACAACGCTGCAGAGAATAAGCTTATAGTATGACAACAAACCTGATAATGTACGAGGTGGACATTTTAAAATAGAGCGACACCACCCAGTCTCTTCAGCAACTTTAGTTTGCTGACCATCGTCTACTGTTACTGTTACATTTTCATTAGGTTGTCCATCATTGTCGGACAAATCAGGCGGTGGTTCACCGTTTAGTGCATTAGAACCTGGAGCTTCGAGTTGTTGAAAATCATCAGCTGCAACATTCACAATCACATTTTGCGATTCACATTCGTTATTCGGAGTGACCTCCATAGCACTTGTAATACAAGTGCTGTATTCAAGTGTTGTATTTGTTGCGGAAAACGATTTGCTCAGCTGCACTGCCTGAAGAACAGTTCATAAGTAAGCTGTCCTAATTAAACCAATTAGCAAAATAGTTCAACTAACAATATAGTGCTCAATTAACAAAACAATCACAACTGGCAACAGCAGACTTTACCTTAATGTTAATGATGATAAACAATGCAAATACCCAGCGCAATAATGTGTAAGTAAACTGTGTATAAATTCTCCCTCACAGAGATTCTCCGTGTAACAATATGATCGGTTTCGTACGTGACCCAGTATAAGTGTAACTCTACACTCAGAAGTAAGAATGTTTAGTTAAGTAATCATATAAAGAAAAGTACTAGGAACTTGTTTTGAACGAGTGTGCTGTTTGTGGACATATAAGAATATATATATTAATGCTTTTCATGCAAACAAGTTAAAACAAATTCTTTATGTCGTGCATCCTGGGTTTGGACAGGATATGCCCGCTTAAAATACTTCCATCGCGTTACATTACATAATTCTCAAAAAATGTAATAGATTTGTAGTATTGTAATTAGTTTATATATATTATATTCGTCACTTCTGATCGCGACAATACAAACAGTTTAAAACCAACAATTTTGACAAAGCCACAACTCAGCTTCCCAACAACCGATTTGCAGAATTCAAAAAGGGAGATTTTTAAAAGAAATTGCTGAATTTTGGTTGCTCGGTAAGAATTTTGCCAATTTCTGCTCTTGCGCATACATGCATGCATTGCCACTGCACATTGGCAGACCCCGAAATAAGGGGTTTTGTCGCGATCCTTTGAATTTGACAATATTTATGACGGAGCACATTTTTATTGTAACCTCATGGTGAATTTAGGTCCAACTTAATATTGAAATCAACCCAACTTTGAAACGAGATTTCTTTGCAGTTCAAAAACTATTTTCAGCGAAATTTGGAGGGAAGCAAGACCAATTGAAAATAATGTATTCGTTATCTTATTATATTAATATATAATAATAAAGCGAGACGATAGTTATCCGTGCCATTTTACTGACACCACGGCATCAACTTTAACGCGACTTTCCGCAAAAACTGTAAAAGATATACAACTGAAACTTTTTTGACTGGGTCAAATGCTTTAATGGCCTCCAAATCAGCATGAACAAATAAAAAATTGGGTATATGACACAAGGGCGGAAGACGCGTGGGCGGAGGTCGCGTAGGCGGAAGACTTGAGGGCGGAGGACGCAAGGGCGGAAGTTTCCTAAAAGGTTGGACACGAGGGCGGAGGTCGCGAGGGCGGAGGTCGATCCCATGATTTGGGCGGAAGACTCGTAAAACGATCACATGTCCTAAATGCTCGACTGGTAATACTACAAAACCGGAAACATCACACAACGTACTTCAAATTGTATAAATTATATAAGTTATATTCAATCAAAGTTATATTCAATCATTTTAGTGGTACTGATTTCGAATTCTTTGTAACTTTACAAACAAAATACACAGGGTTATACTTATAGAGAACGCTTAACGGTAATATAAATCACAATGTAATCAATCAATTTTGTCAAACCCGAATAGAATAATATCACAATAACATAAACATTTCACATAGCACAACATCATCCTCGTACGAATGGTAGTTCTGAACTATGCTGAAGATTCTTCTATCCTTGTCGCTATTGGCCTTCCTCCTCTTAGGCTGCTGCTTCTTCAAGCGAATTCGCTAAGGTCTTCTTGTCTGTCGAGGACTGTTCCATCTGGACTAGGAGATTCTGACGTTGTGACTCAAGTTGTTCGTTTCACTGTGCAATCTTTTCGTGTGAAAACTGTTGATCATATCCCAGAAGCCCTTGTGTCATGTGACTCAAACTATCGAATCGAGTCACGTGATACATAACTTCGACTCACGTCATGAATCACCATGGTCATGATCTCATATAACACAACGGTATGTGAGGACATCACAACATCACGAGCGATCTGGGATCTGATCTGGCATCTGTAAACTGATCTGGGATATGATCAACTGTTTTCACACGAAGAGATTGCACAGTGAAACGAACAACTTGAGTCACAACGTAGACGACTCGAGAGACAACTAGTATATTTAAGACCGATGTTGGGAATAGAAGTATCTTATTATTTAGTTCCAGCTACATCTCAACTACTACAATAACAACCATGTACGATGAGGATACAGTAAAGATTATCAGAGGAAGGACTCCTACCAGTCAGAATCTCCTACACGGTGGTTTCCGCTACTCTAAGGATGGAAAGCTTACCACCGATGGACGCCAAGCCTGGAGATGTGTGAGGAAGAAAGACTGTTGCCGTGGTCGTCTGTATACCCTGAACGAATCCTTGGTGAAAGTGACACAGATACATAACCACGACGCTGATATCGCTGACTGTGAATTGAAAGAAGTCCTCGCTAAAGTCCAGGATCTGGCTGCTACGACGATGACTACTAACCACAACATCGTTTGCTCCGTTACTGGTCCCATGTCTCAGGATGCACGTGCCCGCCTCCCCAACGAACAAGCGGTGAAGAAGAGGGCACAGAGAGCCCGCTGATACGGAAACCCTAGACCTAGAGCGCCTACATCCCTCGCAACTGGAAGAGGACGACTGCAGATCCCTCTCCGGTGAACCTATGCTTCAATACGACAACAACCTGGACGATCGACGTGTCATCATCTTCGCAACAAAAAACAACCTGACAGCCCTAGAGCAGAGCAGCAGCTGGTATATCGACGCAACCTTCTCATCCTCACCGCAGCGGTTCTATCAGTTACTGACTGTCCACGCGGAGATGGTGAACTTCACGGAGGATTCAACCTGGTGCTTCCCTTGCGTCTACATTCTCCTGACCCACAAGGACACTCCCATCTACATGGAAGCGTTCGGCGCCCTCAAAAACCTTGGTTCCTTTTCTCCAGACCGAATCATGGTGGACTTTGAGCTCGCCCTGAGGAACGCCCTATCGTCTACATTCGAGTCAGCCCAAGTGGATGGGTGCTTCTTTCATATCTGCCAGGCTGTCATGAGAGCTGTCGGGAGGCTTGGATACAAGGAGGAGTATGAAAAAGTCCTGACAGATCCCTCATCTGGCCAGAAGAACTACACCCCTACACGAATCTGGATACGGAGACTGATGCTCCTAGCCTTTATCCCCACCGAGGACGTCATCGAAGCGTTTTTCAGAATCCTGGATGATATACCGATAGGCCTCGACATTGACGATCTCCTGGCATACTTCCAGACCACTTGGATCCAGGGACTAACGACTGCCTCCGGCACCGGACGAGCTAAATTCCCTCCGTCCACGTGGAATGCCTATGAACGCAGCCACTTCAACATGAACCGGACAAACAACGTGGTGGAGTCCTGGAACAAGAAGTTCTCTGCTCTAGTCGGACACGCAAACCCGACCATCTACAATTTCATTGCAGCAGTCCAGATGGAACAGTCCTCGACAGACAAGAAGATCTTAGCGAATTCGCTTGGAGAGCAGCCGCCTAAGAGGAAGAAGGCCAACAGCGACAAGGATAGAAGAAACCTCAGCATAGTTCAGAACTACCATTCGTACGAGGATGATGTTTTAACCTATATTGATTTGCTAAAGAGTGCTATGTGAAATGTTTATGTTATTGCATGATATTATTCTATTCGGGTTTTGACAAAATTGATTGATTACATTGTGATTTATATTACCTTTAAGCGTTCTCTATAACCCTGTGTATTTTGTTTTTAAAGTTACAAAGAATTCGAAATCAGTACCACTAAAATGATTGAATATAACTTATATAATTTATACAATTTGAAGTACGTTGTGTGATGTTTCAGGTTTTGTAGTATTACCAGTCGAGCATTTAGGACATGTGATCGTTTTACGAGACTTCCGCCCAAATCATGGGATCGACCTCCGCCCTCGCGACCTCCGCCCTCGTGTCCAACCTTTTAGGAAACTTCCGCCCTTGCGTCCTCCGCCCTCAAGTCTTCCGCCTACGCGACCTCCGCCCACGCGTCTTCCGCCCTCCTGACTGGTTCCCAAAAAATTGGCCAAGGAATAGTGATTTTAGAGCCCAAAATTTGGACCCCAAGTGGTGTCAAAAACGCGAATTAAATAGGTAATAATTATTTTAGTCTCTTGAGTCTTGACACCACTTTAGGGTTATACGGGTTCCTGCTAGTATTTATAATATAAACTGATAACATCCATCTCACAGTCACAGTCAGAGACGCGATGATTTTTCCATATTTATAGGTCGAATATTGTGCACCCCTTTATTTATAATTATATATAATAATTAGGAAGTTGGTATAATTTCTCCGTTCTCGGGTTTGCTAAATCACCAATCAGTTTACACTAGAACTTCGAGATGTTTCTACTTTAGTCAGTTAGTTGATGATTCATGATGGTATGAAACCAAATGGAGGTACTGGAAGTCAAAATGCCAAAGAAAATTGAAAAATCATATTGTCGAATTTTCTGTTCCATTTTCAGTTTTTGAAGATGAAATTTCCAGGATCGAAATTTTATAGTTTTAATGGACGGACTTGCAAGACCTCTTTGTCTTGCATGTCCCAGGAACGATCATATAGTTTAAAGTTTATGGCAGGATCACTGCCGAAAGCTGCATCCTGTCCAAAATTCTGTTAGCAGATGAGTATTAATGGCGAACATTTTGCCGTATAAGGCGAACATTTTTTGAAGATTTTGCTTGTGCAAAAGGGCTAGCGCCTAGCTGATCAATTTGGAACTAGAGATCATTTTCAAACACAGTTTTAAGAACGATTAAAATAATACGGTTCAGTTTTAATACTTTCAACACTACTATATAACAAATAAAAAAATAAAAAAAATTTAGGCATGTACAATGGCATGACAGGCTAGGAAGTACAGCCGATCTCCTGGTATGCGGGTGCGCTGGGGTTCCTGAAGTTCGCCTCCTGAGTTAGGCTCCTCTCGCCCAGTGCTTGCACTGGGCAACAACACCTTAAACACGATGTAAGTTTCTCTTTTACTTCTTTCTCAATGATAGCTTATTTTGAATGTGAATTTTTACATCTCTGATATTGCCCCTCTTATCCTTACTCTAGCTATATTTTCACTGGCAAATTTAACTTTACTCCCGACCAGCAGTTTCATTACACATTTTCTCGTGCCATTTTCCTTCCAGGTCGTGTTTAGTGTTGTGGGAGGTTGCCTACTCTGAGGTGTTACGGATGGTTCCCTGGCAAACTTTGCTGCCAGACTCGACAATCTCTGACAACAATGATAAACCTTCAAGAGATTTTCGACTATGTCAAAGCTGCCTCAGTTGAGGATCTACGTCATATCCTTAACTCTGTTCAAAACGAGCTGCCAAAGCGTGAGGGAAAGGTGGACAATTTTGTGTTACATATAGAGGACTTCTGCGATGATGAGGTTCTCCGTGATGCGGTATGGGTTGAATGTGAGTCCCTGCAGAAACTGAACACCGAGGGAAGACACAAGGCAACAACAGCTTGGTTGTGCTCACAGGATGCACCCTATATTTACACTGACACAAATCCAGTGCACCCACCACAGGATATCAGTGGTTTCCCTAATATCAAAAGACTCCTGAGTCTTGTAAACTTGAGTACGGAGATAACTGGACCTCTGGACTCATGTCTGGTCATCAAGTATGGAAACAACCAAGCGAGTACTTCAATACACAATGACGGTGAGGAACTAATGGACCAGGAGAAATCGATTTGCTCTTTCTCACTGGGATGTGAACGGACGCTTGAGTTTTACGAGGGCACAACTGGGAAACCTAATTGTGTCAAGACGATAAGGATGAAGAACAACAGTCTTGTTGTAATGCGGCCTGGGACACAGCAGAATCTGAGGCATGCTGTGCGAGCAGAGCCGGCCACAAAGGGAGAGCCTCTAAAGAAATCGGAGCAAGTAAGATACTCCCTGTCATTTCGAGCTATTGTGAAATCTGGTGGCCAAGTCAGCTCTCAGAATATCAGCACAGAGACTAGTACACCAGCTTCTGGCACCAAAGCCCAAGTACCTGCGCAAAGAGTCACGTTGGTTGCTGGAGACTCTTATGCTCAAAGATTGGACTCCGCAAAGCTGGGAAAAGGGAAAGTCACAGTCGTAAATGTTGCAGAAGGCGGAGCAAAAATGGACAAAGTCCAGAAACAGTTGGAGGACTACTGCACGGCACATCCTGATGTCCACGTTGAGAAGCTTCTGATCAGCGTAGGCACAAACGATATTAGGCGTGTGGGGGATATTGGTATTTTGAGGGGACCAGTAAAGCAACTTTTTGGTAAGATAGGCCTATTATTTCCCAACTGTAAGGTATATGTTCAATCTCTATTGCCATAAACTTTACAGAATGATAACGATAAATTAACTAACAAGAGGGTAATGGATTTTAATAGGATTTTATACAATGAGTGTGTATTTAGGAGGTTCTTTTTCATGGATGTGTTTTATCCCTTTACAAAGTTTAAGAGAGCTCTAAGTGAGCCTGTTAAGAGATTTGATCCCTTATTTGAGAACAAAGGCATTCACCCCAATCCTCAGAAAGGTATGGGTGTGTTGGCCAGATTTTATATTCGTGCCATCCACAGTAGATATTTTAATCCTTATATCTATCAGTAGTTCTTTTGTGCTGTCTTCTGAACCTTGTTAAGCTAGTGATATGCAGTTGTAGTCTGGCAAGTATACTCACCTGTAAAACACCATGATCGATTTAGTAACATACAGATTTAGAGTTGGAGTGTTTAGTGGAAATTCTTTTGCAAAATCCATCAAACATCAGAACCGTAGACGTGGTACAGGTAGTATTTTTGATTATTTAGACAGCTGCATTGATTCTCGCTTATTATTTTATATTTTTTATGTTATATTTATATGTCACTTTTCGCTAATCACTATCACATATGTCGGGGTAAGTGGGTTGGCTTTTTCTAGGGTCACTTATGAATGCCGAGCCTTTGTACCAACATACCCAGTTCCTAACTTGTGCCGATGCTTTACAGTTTATTTCTTTTTATATTTAGCAAATATGTATTATCTGAGGAATAATTACAGTTTCGATGGTTTATATAGATTTTGCCAGATTTCAATCCATAAGAACTTAAATTGCATATTTACTGGTAGAACCGGCAATACACTCACGGGATGCATAATTTGGTTGTTTTTGATGAATGGTTTTTTGATAGTTTTAGTAAACCCTGGAATTGTAAACCCAGGGCCGTCTCCCATAGGTGTTAGAGTTGGGAATGGTAATAAATTGAATGTTTACTTTCAGAATGTTCAAGGTCTCATCCCTTTTGGTGAACTGAACAATGCCCACCCAATGATTGATACCACTAAATGTCTTGAAGTGTCGACTTATCTTAATGAGGCTAAGATAGATATTGCAATACTTAACGAAACCTGGTTTAAGAGTTCTATTGCTGATAGTGAATTTCTGCACCCTGACAGATATAAGATATTTCGCTCTGATAGATCGAAGAAAACTCATCCACCAGATCCTTCTAATCCAACCCGGTTTAGGAGGAATGGTGGAGGGGTCATGATTGCAGTGAGAGCAGACCTTGATCTAACTTCAAAGGAAGTTCGTCTCAAGTATGGTGCAGAAATTCTTGCTGTGGAATTTAAGACCTCCACTGGAATTAAGTTTGTTGTATGCACATGTTATCGTGTTGGTACACTGGGCTCCGCAAATCATGAAAAAATTGTTGAGTCTTTGAATTTGAAAACTCTTCTCAGAAGAAGAGGACTGAGTAAAGTCTTCATACTAGGAGATTTTAACCTGACCGGAGTTTCCTGGTCTACCCTGGCCAGCTCCTGTCCTATTGAGCAATCTTTTGTTGAATCTTTTGTTGATCTAGGCCTTCAACAATGTGTGTTAACACCTACCCACTGCAAAGGCAAAACACTTGACCTATTGCTCACAAATTCTGTGTCAAATATTAATGACCTAATGGTAGGTGAGAGAGATAGTGCTTGCAAGTCTGACCACTTCCCCATCAATTTTAAGATCAACGTTAAAGTTGGTAGGAAGAAGCCAGTCAGGCGTATGTGCTATAACTTTAAGACTGCGAACTGGGAGAGGCTAAACCATGAACTCCGACACACGAATTGGGATGCATTGCTCAATGGCACAGAACCTGAAATTGGATGGAAAAAATTTAAGGACAAACTTTTTAATGTCACAGATAAATTTGTTAAAAAATGCTCTGTCAAGACTGATGGCCAAGATCCATGGTTTGACTCGGAGTGTTATGATGCATGGCGTAAGAAAGTGAGATTACATAAAGAAAGGCATAAAAGTGATAGAGCTGAAATTGCATTCTCCCTTGCTAGGAAAAATTTCAAAAATGTGGTTGCTCAAAAAATGAGGGAAACGTTAAATGAATCTGATGATAGTGCTTTAATAACAAAAAAATTTTGGTCCTATGTCAAATCGAAGACAGCTAGTCAGCGGATCCCTGAGTTTGTAAGCCACAAAGGCACTGTCCGCAACTGCCCTGAAGACCAGGCCAACCTATTTAATGACTTTTTCTTCGAGCAGTTCTCTGAGGCATCAACTTATGACATAGATATAGATTACTCTAATGATTGGCGCTTTGATATTGAAT